GAAAGATCTAAGGGGAAAGATACTGTTTAGTTTTAGACACGTTGAATTTAAGATATCTATTGGACAGTCAGTTTAGGAAGTCTGAAAGGCAGTTGTTGGCAGAGTTTAGTCTATAGTCTCCAGCTGGGACACTTTTCTAGATTCATCCTTCACTATTCATTCATCCACCATTTTTCGGTTCATAATTATTTTCTTCCCTCTTTGCTTCTTTGTTTTTTGCTATCTTGTCTTTTTTTCTATACTCCAATCTCCTTCAGAGTCATCACACTGGAAATCAGTCTTGCAAGACTGCACTTGATGGTTGATCATATTTGCATTTAGACTGGAGTTTTTTCTCCTCCCTGATTAGGCCAACACCTAAATCCTTTCTTACACTAATAGCCCCTACCTAGCAGGGTTGTTGTGAGGTTCAAAGGAGATCATAGATGTAAAGTGTTTTGCACATCTTAAAGTATGATATAAAATGTTAACTATCCCTACTGATACTATTACCACAGTTTGTAGCTAACACTGGAGTAAAGAAGCTCGTTACTGTAGTCAGCTGTATGGGTGTGCTGTTCTTTAACTTCACTGTTCTTGACTGACTCCAGAAGACGATACTGGGATCTCAAGACTGCAGCCTAAAGAATACTGCCATAAAACCAGATGAGTGGCATGTTCAAGTACTTTTTGAAGGATGACTTTCCTTTGTGTTAACCTCCTTGATGTTAGATGGCTTTGGGGCTTGCCTTCAGCATGGGACACTGTGAGAATATCCTGGGTGAGTCATGGTAGGTCCTCATTACTGTTCAGAAATGAACTTTAGGCTACCCTTTATTTTTGAATCCCTTGTATTTGTCTTTTCCTCCCAGTTATGTTTTGTGAAGCTTTACTCTTGGATTATTGCCACTTTTCATTCCCTCTTCTATTCAAGTGCACCTAAGTAGATCTAAAAAACCAATCACAAAATGAAGATGATGATTGGGCCCGCTACAAATTTATGTTAATGTAATCTCAACTAGGCCTTCACTGCAGCAAGACAAGGCAGTCATCCTACTTCTCTCTGATTGATTTGCTGTCTCTCACCTTACTACAGCTGTGTATCATATCACCACAAAAGCTGGAGAACTTGATTCATACTTCACTAATAAAATTAAGGTGAATAACTGATTCCCCCTTCTTTTTTCATGTCTCATACATCTCCCACTGCCTTCTCCAATGGAGAAATGGCCCTTCTCTTTCCTGAGGCCAATCTTTTATATTTACCCTGGATCTCATTCTCTGTCGCAGATAGCCCTTATTATCTCCATTTCCTTTCTAGGTTCTTCTATAGTGTCGCTTGTCTACCTCTTTGTCCTAGTCGTGGCCCCTCCCCACCCCAACATGTTTCCTTGTATACATTTAGAAATAAGTCTTTTACTGGACTCTCTGTTACCAGTCTGTTGCTGTCTTTGCCTTCTGCATTTATTCACTCTTCATGCATTTCAGTCATCTGAGATGTTTGAGAAGCAAATAATCTTCAGTTTTTTTTTTTTGTCTAAAACCATTTCAAAATCTTCTTTATTGAATGTTCATCTTTTTTCACGTATAGTTAAGCTCAGATTTGCAGGGTAGGTCATCCTGGGCTGCATCTTGAGTTTCATTGTTCTTCAGAGCACATTGTTCCATTCTTTCTTAAAATTTCTAATCAGCACAGATAGTTTTGTGTTATTGGAATGTTCTTTCCTTTATATTTGAAGGTTTTCTTCTCAATGACTTGTAGAACTTGTTTCTGAATTGAATTGTTAAATTTAACCTCTATGTGTCTCAGGCTTACAGCCTGGAATTTTTTGTTATTGTCATTTTGTTTTGCTTTTTCTGGAAGCACTCTGAATTCTTTCAATTGGAATTTCATTTTCTGTATTCAGAAGTTCAGGGCAATTCTCTTTTGTTGTTTCTTTATGACTCTTTTTGGTTTGTTTTTTGTTTTTGTTTTTTAATTTTGACCTGACATGTTCTCCTGGGAGACTGTGATCCTTAGGGTTGTTTCTACATATCTTTTCTTCACGTTCAGTATCTTTTGTTTGCATAATGAGCATATTTTCTTTTAATGTTATTTTTTTGTGTGTTTGTTTGTTTCCTTTTTAGATTACCCCTCACAGTGCAAATGTTTTGCATTCCCAATATATTGTTCTTTCTTTTGTTTCTTTAGTGAGGCTTACCATTGCAGATTCTAATTTTTTCTATTCTGTTAATTATTTTTGCTTTGCAGCCCATAAATTCTGCACTTATAATTCTCTTTTCTCTTTTGAATCACTGAGGGACAGTGTATTGTGATCCCATTTTCTCCTCAAATTCTCCAGGGTCCTCTGTCTCTTCAAGTGTTGGATAGTTTTCCTTTGTTTTCCAATGTTTATTCATGGATGACTGAATTTGTTTAGCAGATTTGAAGCCCATAGTTCCTTCTGTTGTTAGTGTTTTTCTTGTTGATTTATCTGCTTATTTTTAAGGTCTTTTGAGTTTTCTTCTTCCTGAAATCTTGGATAATTTTAAGTTACCTTGTACCCTCATTTTCTCCTATTGCTCACTTTCTGACTCTCTTCCTTTTGGTTGTGGTTTCCTTGGGGGCTAGGTCTCAAATCACTTTAAGTCTCTTCTCCTGCTGGGCAGTTCATGTTTCACTGACTTAGCTGTCTGCCCCCAAATAACTTTCAGGTGCTCAAAACTGGCCCCACTGGTTGCTGTGCTGTTTTCCTCAGGCTTGGTGGAGTGCTGCAAAGTGTTTCTGTCCTGTTCTCCTATCCCTCTCCCTCTATTCTTTAATTCTTTGGCCCAACACCAGCAATTTGGAGCTTTACATTATTGTTGCCATAGGGTTGTAGCCCCAGGCAGGCTTTTGCTCTCGTGGGTCTGTGCCTGCCTGGTAGCATTCCTTAGCCTGGAGCCTGGGTCTTCAAGAGACTGGAAAGAGAAGGGGGGTGGGGAGACTGGAATGTGGGGTGGGGGTTTATTGTAAGCCTGTGTTGTGTCCTTGAGTGTGTTAGCAGAGCCTCATTGTTAAGGAGATGAGGGAGGGCTTCTGAGTGAGCTCAAGGTTAGTCCTATAATAATGAAGTGGTATTAGATAATTCTAATAATTAGATAATTAGATAATAAGATAATTCAAAGTGATCAAAGTAGTCTCTGATACCTTGTTTGACCAAAGTCTATTTCCAAACCATCACCACTGTTTTTGTTTGTTTGTTTGTTTGTTTTGCCAGGCAGTGAAGTTAAGTGACTTGCCCAGGGTCACACAGCTATAAAATGTTATGTGTCTGAGGCCGGATTTGAACTCAGGGCCTCTTGAATCCAGGGCCAGTGCTCTATCCACTGCGCCACTTAGCTGCCCCCATCACCACTATTTTGGTCAAAAATAAGTACTGTCAGATTCCCATAGTCTAGTGAACCTTTAATTGCAAAGGTCTCTAAATTACATAGTCTTCCACATTGCTTTTTTCTTCCTACTCCCTGAATTTGGGGAGGTGTTAGAATTTTCTCAGGAAATGCAGGTAGTTTTAATTAATCTTTATTACAGAAACATTACAGAAAATTGTTACTTAAGACAGTTAATTTGACAGCGGAGTGGAGGATGGGCTGGAAGAGGGAGAAAACTTGAGGCAGGGAGTCCAACCAAAAGGGTGTTTTGGTAGTCCAGATGTGAAGTGAATGACAGTCTGCACCATGGTGGTGTCAGAGGAGAGAGGTTATGAAGGTAAAAATTATGGGACTTGACAGCAGATTGGATGTGGGGATTAAGAGTGAAGGATTGAGGTTGACCTTTAGGTTGCAAGCCTGAGTGACTGAGTGAATCTTACCATTCTCTCACACTATCTTATTTCTCTCTTCCTCTTCTCAGTTAAGTTGGTAGAAAAAGCTGTCTATAGTCATCTTCACGCTAGTGAAAACTGGTGTGCAGTAGTTAGGATGAGAGGATGCTTTGCAGGGTGGGGGAAACAATAATGAGTATAGTTTTGGACACCTTGAGTTTAAGATGTCTATGGGATATCCACTTGGAGAAGCAAGACTAGACTTGGTCGGGAGAGAGGTTAGGACATATAGAACTGAGAATCTGGACGTACATATAAGAGAATCTTCTGCATAGACCTGGTAGTTGGACCATTGCAAGCTGATGAGAGCTGATAGTTGGGCCCCTGTAAGGTGATGAGAGTGAAATAATAAAAGAGGGACCAAGACAGAGCCCTGAGGGGATGCCCACTATTAGCAGGTATGACCTGTTTGAAGATCCAGCGAAGGGGACTGAGAAACAAAACAAGGAGGAGAACCAATGCAGAGTAGTGTCACAGAAACCTAGAGAGAATGAAGTATTAAGGACAAGAGGGTGATCTAGTTTCAAATGTAGAGAGGTCAAGAAGGATGAGGATGGATAAAAAGTTGTTAGATTTAACAATTAAGATATCAGTAAGTCCCAAAGACTGTCAACTAAGGAATTGTGATTCCTTAATACCCATACCAATAAAATTACAAATTCTTAGATAAGTATAAAATAAGTGATTTGTTTTTGTTTATATCAGTGTGACCCATTTTGCTTTAACATTTTAAAATTCATGAACACAAATATAAAGTAATTTAAATATATAATTCCCATTTACTCATTTGTTGCCTACTTATTAGTTAATAAACATTTATCAAGTTATTAATATTTATCAGGCACTGTGCTAAGCATTGAGGATACCAAAATTAAAAAAAAAGGCTAAAGCAGATGAGGGTGGAGTTCCTTGTGTAACTTCAGGTACTCAGAAGTGGAAAGGGGCTAGTCCTAGCTTTATCAGTTCCCTGCTCTCAAGAAATACATCAACTACTTCAGAACTTTAAGGATCAGGGGTATTCTCTCTTCTTATAATAATTCAGAGTTGTAAGTACTGTCATAGTTTTTTAAAATAGCATCACATCTGTGCCTTGATGAGGCTTTTGGATTAGGACTTTGATGGAGGATTGCTATATAAAGAAGATTAAATTTATTTATTGTTCTTTTAATTTTCCAGGCATTGCTTCAGAGTTTGGAGTTAGAGGATATCCAACTATTAAGCTGTAAGTTGAGAGTCAAATGTGGTTGTTAAATGTGCATTTTTATCACTCTGCTTGCTGTAGCACTTTACCTTGGAAAGTGTGTTTCTTAGTAAATCGTGAGACAGAGGGACTTTTATTCAGCAACTATTTCTAAAATATAACCAATACTAATAGCATGTTATGATTTACAGAAAACTTTCTTGACAAAATTTTTGAAAATTAGATAATGAAAGTAGTATTGCTCATATTTTATGGATTATTGTGCTGAGGCTCAAAGAGATTTATGGAATTTGCCTGTCACAGAGCTAAATATCATCAGAGCCAAGATTTAAGCCCATATTTATTTCTCTGAGTCTTATGTTTCAGTGCAGCATATTTTTAGATCCAGCTTGGCACGGCAGGGTATACTATCACATCATGATACTTAAAAAAAAAAAAAGAAAGAAAGAAAGAAAGAAGTGAATATATTTCTTAATTACAAACCAGGGCCTGTGGTTTAGTGAAAAGAACACTGTACCTGGAATCAGAAGACTTATGTTTCAGTCCTGCCTTTCCTACTTATTTTTTATGTGTCCTATATCAATGTCACTTAACTTTGAAGTACCTCAGTTTCTTATCTATAAAGTGAGGATAATAGTGATTTTACTACCTGCCTCTTAGCATTGTTGTAAGAACTACTTGAGATAATACATGACAAGTGATTTGTAGAATATAAAATGCTAAATATGAGCTATTATGATGATTGGAAATTAAATGCTTAAAGGAAATACTACCTTGACTTAACTTTGGAATTTTGTGTTTAAATAAAAACTGTTCATCTGGATTAATCAAAATGTGAGTTAAATAATACTTTGTATTTGTTGATCAAGCTTAACGTAGGCCACCAGAACTGAAACATATCCTCTGGGACCTGTAGAGAATTAATTACATCATTTTAAAAAATCTCTTTCTTAGACTTCTTTGCTGTAAATTTATTTTATTGCTTAAAGAAGGACAATATACAATAAAGCAATTTCATTTTAATTGATTTAGCAATTTTCATTGCTATAATTTTTAAAAAGGAAGAGAATAGTCTGCAAACTATAGATCAGTAAGTTTGTCTGTAATTTCTTGGAACATTCTAGGACACATGATTAAAAAGGTGGATGGCAAACATCTATAAAGTGAAGTCATGATAGATTCATCAACACCAGGTCATGCCACACTAATTTAATTTCCTTCTTGACAGGATTACTAAACAACCAGTAGAAGAGAGGAGTGATGCAGATATATAGTTTATTTGTATTTGAACAAAAGCTTTTTGTATGTCATGTAATTCTTTTGTAAAAGATGTATTTGTGTGTGTGTGTGTGTGTGTGTGTGTATAAAAAGTGAGAGATTGAGATTTAACAGTAATATAATAAGAGGGATTCAGAATTAGTTGGATGCAAAACTGTTAACTTCCCACTTCCTCAGTCTATCTCAGTTCCCCTGATCTACTCCTCCATTTCACTTCAGCTGTGTAACAGAAATGGCCCTGTCCTTGATCTTGCCAAAACCTACAAAGTGTCCTACTTCTATGTTCACAAATTATGAAACTCCTTTATTTGGTAAGTCTGTTATCATGATATAATTCCTTACCCTTTAAGTACTTTGCATCTCTCACTGTGACCTCCATTCCTTCATCCCTTAGTTCTTTCCCAGGCTATCTGTTCTTTGTTGTCCTTATCTTCTGTTTCCTTCCTTGCTGCCTACAAACATTCCCAAGTTTCAGCCATCATTAAAAAGAAACAAAAACAACTCTAACTTCATCTGACCATCCCCACATCCTATATATCTTTTCTCCCCTTCTAGGCAAAAGTCCTTGAGAAAACTTTTTCTAATAGGACCTTCTATTTCCTCTACTCTCTCTTCTTAACCACCTATAGTCTGGTTTCTTACTCTACCCTTCAATTGAAACTGAGCTCTCCAAAGTAACCGATGATCTTTTAATTGTCACATTTAATGACTTCAGTCCTCAGCCTTCTTGACCTCTCTTTAGCACGACACTAATAATTGCCCTCTCCTTCTAGATGTTCTCTCTTAAGGTTTTCCTGACACTGCTTTCTACTTATCTGACTGCTCTTTGTCTCCTTTGTTTGTTGTTCATCTATGTCATACTTCCTAACTTTGGATTTCTCATAAGACTGCTCTGGGCCTTTTTCTTTTTTTCCCTGTGTTATCTTACTTGATCTCATCAGTTCCCATGGTAGATTCAATTAACATTTCTATGTAGATGATTTCCAGATCTTTATATCCAACCCAGTTCTTTCTCCTGAGTTCTCGTCTTAAATCACCACTCATGTCTTTTGGATATTTCAAACTGTTGGACCCTAGGCATCTCAAATTTAACACGTTTAAAACAGATCTTATCTTTCCCCCAAAACCTTGCCCTCATAACAGCTTTCTCATGATTTAGTGTATCATCATTATCATTATCCCAGTCACTCAGTTTTACAACCTTGAATTCACACTCTCCTTCAAATCACATATACAACCCATTGCCAATTCTTGTCATTTACTGTCAGAACTTCTCAACCATGTGTTTCTTTTTCTCTCTTCACATAACCACTACTCTAGTTCAGGCCTTCATCCCCTTTCATCTAGACTTTAGAAGTAGCCTTCTAACTTGTGTGTTCTTCTTGTCTCTCCCCAGACCAGTCCATCCTCAGATAACAAAGTGATTTTTCTGAAGTACGGGTTTTCTAAATCCCTTCATGTCCCCAACTCATTAAATTCTGTTGTCTGTTTCCTACATTATTATATGAGGTCTTCTATTTGCCTTCTCAAGTAGGTTTACCTTTCTGGTCTTCTTAAACTTTACTCACCTTCCTGTACTCTCTGATGTAGCCTGCATGTTTTGCCTCACACATGACACTCCACTTAACATGCCTTTGATTTTTTTTTTTTACTGGATGTCCAGAATGCTCTCCCTCCTCACTGCTTCCTCCTTCCTTTGCCTGGTTTTTTTCAAGATCTGGCACAAATCCTACCTTTTGCAGGCCTTTTTCGGTGCCCCTCGCCTTCCCCTTGTATCATCTCTCCCTCCCCTCCCCCCAAAGCATGTTCCTTCCCCTCTAAGATTATCTTCTGTCTGCCTTGTACTTCTCCTTGGCATCTGTGCCTAGTATCCCTGTGCCTTTTCACATTTTTATCAACAATTTGTGTTTCATATGCTCATCATTTTCAAAGAAGACAAAGCTAGGAGGGCTAGGTAACTCTGTATTAGAGTCAGGATCCAACAAGAAACTAGAGGATTGGACTGAATCTAGTTGGATGGAATTTTGTAGAAATGAATATGAAATCTTATTCTTGGGTACAAAAAAATAAGCTTCACTAATATATACTGGGAGAGTCATGGATGGATGGCAGTTTATTTGAAAAAGATCTGCCAGTTTTAGCAGACTGCAAGCTTGTTGTGAGTCAGCATTGTAATTTTGCAGCCAAAAAAAGCTAATATGATCTTGGGAAGCATAACTTTGAGGAATAGGAGATGATAATCCTGTTGTACTCTTGTCTTAACAGATCTTATCTGTAATTTTATATTCGATTCTGCATGCATGGTTTATAAAGGACGTTGTTGACCTGTAGTTTCCAGAAGAGGGTAAGAAGGATAGTGAAGGGCCTTGAGTTTAAGTCATATTAGGATCATTGGAAGGAACTGGACATGTTTAGCCTGGAGAAGAAAAGTCTCAGGGGAAGTGATAGTCATTTTCAACTCTTGGCCCAGTTCCTTGTATTATCTATACCAGGTATACATATTATTAGACAAGCTCTATGGGGTGGCCATTCAGATTTATACTGAAATTTGGGCAATAGGCAGTCTTCGTTGATTGATTACAGAGCTCTTCCTGGAGGTCCTTCAAAGTCTTTGGGTTTGATGAAATCAGCTGATGTCATTCACAGACCAGAGCATCCAGATAACCTCACCATCTATAGAGTAATTCCCTCTCCCCATCCACCTAGAATCTGTGCTGAATCTCCTTCATCACAGTGTTGAATACTTTAGGGGTGCATATATCTTCCTGTTTTATGCTTTGTCCGATGTTTATTATCAGAGGGTATTTCTCATGATAAATCTTCCATGAAATCTTGAAAGATCTTGTTGTATGGATGGGAGACAACTTATTGTAAAAGAGTAAAGCCAAATGCTTCTTTTTTTTTTGTAATTAAAAAAAGTAATCACAATGGTATCTGATATTTTCTACATCTTTTAGTCAATTATGAGATGGTAAAAATTTTGTCCTTTGTTAAATATCATTTGGGAAAGCCCACTTGTTTAATGATACCTTCATCAAGGATATCTTCACTTAGTGTATATATCCCTCATAGAGATTTTGTATAGATAGGAAAATACATATGTATACATCTGCATAGATATGTATATGTGTGTGTGTGTGTGTGTGTGTGTGTGTGTATACACACATATATATATGTCTCTACCTGTAGAGGTAAATGTGTATTTGTAAACTTCTTTCTTCTTTCCTTCCTATCATATATTCCGTAGATGTCTATATGTATTTAGTTAGATCTGCCTTATTGGCAGGAAGACAGAACCCTAGGATACATGTGAGAGAGGTGCCCTTACTCCCAAACCCAACAAGGGAGGGACAGGCAAGGACCCCCTCCCCCCAACCTCAGAATGATTTGTAGTCTTACTTGCCTTAGTGGCACACACTATCTACCCTCTCTCCAGTGAGGAAAGCCATAAAGAAAGGGTAGAGGTATGGACAGGGGAGTGAGGGCTTGATTTGCAGATGACACTGTCTTTTCCCTGTTTCCCTTTTTTAAATATGTGTGTGGGTGTGTATATACATACACATATGTATGTATGTTTGTATACACACAGTTGTATGGATGTATATTTTATATATAAATGACTATATACATAGATACAGATATATATTTATATACACACACATACTTTTCCCTCCCATGTATGCAAAAATCTTTTATGAGGTACCTGTACACTAATTTGTTTGGAATATATTTTTCTTTGCAATTTGGTTGAGCTGTTCTTCTAAATTCAGTTGCTATTTAATGTATGCCCCTGTAACTGTTACTTCTAATATATTACCTTTGTATTTGTATTTTGGAAACTAGCTTTTTTTTTGTTTGTTTTTTTCTTAAGTGAGGCAATTGGGGTTAAATGACTTGCCCAAGGTCACACAGCTAGTACATGTCAAGTGTTTGGTTTGAGGCCGGATTTGAACTCAGGTCCTCCTGACTTCAGGGCCGGTGCTCTATCTACTGCGCCACCTAGGTGCCCCCGGAAACTAGCTTTTCTTAACTACAATCAAATAACAATTTCTAATTAACAAATCAAAACCATATTCAAATATTGAAGTAATCAGAAACCCAAATCAATCTTTTCTTTTTCTTTTGAAGATTAAAAAATGACCTGGCATATAACTACCGAGGGCCCAGAACTAGAGATGATATCATTGAGTTTGCTCATAGAGTATCTGGGTAAGTATTTGTTCTTCCTTGAAAATAATTTAATGTAATAGGGTCCAGTGTGGAGAATTGAAGTATTAAAGATATTGATTACTTCAAACATTTTTGTGTTTTAATTGTATAAATACAATTTACATTTCTTTTTGAAAACATAAGTTTATGTAGCAGAGATGTAAGATACAGATGAGTTACAGAAAAATACTGTTTTGGAGGGGTCCTTAAATCATTAACTTTGTTTTTCACACAGTCCTGAAAAAATATGTTTAAAATGTCATTATATATAGTCATTAGTGTATTTCCTTTCATTGTAATTTCAATTATATACTTCAACATAAAACATAATAAATGAAAAAGTGATAAAAGCTATCTTAGTAATCCTGCCTTTATTTTTAATGAGCATATCCCATTTATCACTATAGTTTTTATTTATTTAATATTTTCAAGAAAAGTTAGGTGGACAGATTTCATTTAATCTTTTCTCACTTAAAATATATTATGTAAAAAAATGTACCCCACATTTAATTCTCATATTATTTAGAGAGACCATTGATTCCACAACCTTAAACACTGATTTCTCTTTGCCTAGACACTAAAAAAGCAAAAACAAAACCGACCCAGTAACCCTTTGGAAATGTGGCTAAAACAGTTTCTTTCAAATGGAATTTTTCATATAAGGTGTAAAGATGCTTTATTAAAAGTGTGTTAGGACCATAATAGGGCACAATGATGGCATAACATTATTGACATTTCACTTAGTTTAATACCTCATTGCAGAATTTTGAAGTTTTGAGGTTTGTTTGGTGCTAACTTGTTGATAGGGTCACAGACACTCTGGAAATCAACTTTTCAAGGTGGTCCGAATTTTTTTCTTTTTTGTTGCATCCAGAATGGCTGCAACTGAAGCATGTGCAGTGTGAGACCTCATGTATGTAAGTCGATCATTGACATTTATTAAATGTGTTAATGTTGAATTTCATAAAAGTACTATTCAGAAAGCAAAAGTGATCAAAATTTGACCATGAATTGTGAAAGTCAATACATAAAGTTTGATCTTATTCTCTGATTCAACATTCATCAAATACTGAGCACCTGCTATTTGGAGAGCACTATGCAAGGTCCTCAGGGACATTCAGACTTTAAATGAGATACAGTGCTTATGCTCATGGAGCTAACAGTACAGTAGATGGACATATAAGACATAATTATAATACCCACAATGCGTGCTTAATTTTGAGAGTTGTAAAGTATTATGTGAAGTCTAAGATTAAAGATTATGTAACCTTAGATGTACAGAGGTTGTGGGGTAGAGGATGGATGAGGCAAGACTTTATTGAAAAGATAGACCTTAGGGAAGGAGAGAAGGGAATAAGCATTTATATAGCATCTACTGTGTTCCAGGCACTGTGCTAAGCACTTTATAAATGTTTAAAGACATTTGAAATGCGAAGAAGGAAAGAAGGGACATTACAGAAGTAGGGATGCAGAAGGGCAAATGATAGAGCACAAGGTAGACAATATTTCATTTTGGTTGAAGCAAAGAGTATGGAAGGAATATTATATCTAGCAGTTAGATATGACTTTAAGGTTTGCAAATATTATCTCCTTTATCCTCTCAACAAGCCTGAGAGGTCAGTACTATTATTATCATCTCCATTTTGCGATGAGAAAATTGAGAAAAAACAGAGTTTAAGTGACTTGCCCAGGGCCACACAGTAACTCTTTAAGGCAGATTTGAACTCAGATCTTCTTGACTCCAGGTCTAGTGTTCTATTTACTATGCCATCTAGCTGCTGATGGCTGGAAAATGAGAGTTTTTGCAGATTTTTAAGACCTTGAATATTAGTCAAAGGAATTAGAACCTTTTTGAATATGTAGTATGGAACCCCTGAATATTTTTTTAGTAGAGATTTAGACTTAACAAATTCAATTCAATTAATTATCTATGAAGGGCTAACCATATGTTACACTTCTCAAAGAAGCTAAAAATATGAAAATGAAATACTCTGTTATCAGACAAGTTTATATTCTCTTAGAATGCATAAAAAATTAGTCTAACAGTGTGATTAATTGAAGGATTGGGGATAGAAAAAAAAAGAAGTGGGAAGAGCCACTCATCACCTTTTATAAGAGTGTAGTTAGGTGATAATTAAGACCTGTCTCAGAGTGTTGACAGTGGGTGTAGTGAGGAGGGCACAGAAGCAAGAGATTTTACAGAGGTAGAAATGGCAGGATTTGATAAATGATTGGACGTGAAAGGCAAAGGAAAGGGAAGAATCAAAGTTATCCGAGAATGAATGGTGGTTCCGGTGGGGGAAAAAAATGGAAGTCAGAAGGATGGACATCTGTAATGGGAAAAATACTAACTATGCTTTGTTTTTGACATGTTGAATTTAGGTTGTGCTAGAAAATCAAGGTGGTAAGATGTAGGCATATTTAGAATTGTAGCGCAGAAGGAAGTTCAGAAAAAGAAATTTCGGTCTTCTTAGGTGATATCAAGCTGTGGGAACAAGAAAGATTGCTACTTTCAATGACCCCACAGTATAATGGAGAAGGCAACATGTAAACAGCAATGTACAACTGAGATACATACAGAGCAAGTTAGAGATAATCAACAGAGGGAAAGGTTCTGGCACTAATGGGGATCAGGAAAGAATTCTTGAAGAAGGTAGGATTTTAGCTGAAACTTTAAGGAAGCTAGGAGACATAGATGAAGAGAGAGAGAGAATTCCAGACATAGAAGATTGCTAGTGAAGATACCTGTGGACAAGAATTATCTTCTGCAAGGAAGAGCCACTGTCACTGGGTCTCAGGGTATATGGAGGTGAGTAAGGTGTAAGAAGACTGGATAGGAAGGAGGATAGGGATATGAAGGGTTTTAAAAGCAAAATAGAGAATTTTATATTTGATATATACTATTATTATTATTATTATTATAATTATTTGATAATTTTGATCCTGGTGGTCATAGGGAACCACTAGAGTTTATTGAGTAGGGGGATGTGTCATGATCAGGCTTGTACTTTAGGAAGCTCACTTTGACAGCTGAGTGAAGGATGTATGGGAGTGGGGAAAAACTTGAGGTAGAGACACAAACCAGAAGACTATGGGCAGTACTGTAGGGATGAGATGATGAGGAAATATATCAGCATGGTAGCAACAACAGAAGAGAGAAGGGGGCATATATGAGGGCTGTTATGAAGTACAATTGATAGGATTTTTCAGCAGATTGGATTTTGGGGAGGGGTGAAAAAATGTGAGGAATTGTAGATGACCCCTAAGTTTTGAACCTGGAAAACTGGCAGGTTGTTAGAATGAGAAGAAAGGAAGTGGAGGTACCAAATGGATTTTTTACAAGGTATATCTGGCAGGTAACATGAGCATGTTTATAGGCAGTAGTATGGAGTATAGCAAGTAGATGGGGAGAGCCTGAAGATTAGCAAGAGTATCATTGATAGAAGAGACCATCTGCTGCAGAAGACTGAATTGAATGGAATCATTTGTACATACAGAAGGATTTTCCTTCTCAAAAACAGAGGCTACCTGACTCCGAGTTGTGATACTTGGGTTCCTATCTGTGTGATCATGAACTACTCACCTAATCTTTCAGCCTTAATTTCTTCAGAATAAAAAAATGATATGATAATACTTGCAACAACTCACAGGGTTGTTATGAGTAAAGTTCTTTGCAAACCTCAAATCATTTTATAAATTTGATTTTATTATTAAGATTCACTAGAGGGGAGCTGAATGTTGGTATAGACCTGTTTAAGAGGGAGTATAGTTGGGGAACTTAGCCTTAATTAGGAATAGGGCTGCCACTTACAGAATAAAGAGAAAAGAATGAACAAATAGTGCTGATAAGTTTTGAGGAAGGGAGAAAAAAGTAGGTTAATGATCTGAAAGGATATATAATTTTAGCAAGCTAAACACTTATATTTTGGTAACTTTTGGCTGTAGGGTTTAGGGAACTGGAAGGTAGAGACATTCAGATATTTTAGGACAATTACTCAGGAAACTGTTTTTCAGTATAGCCTGACACTATCTCAGCAGTTTCCTTGCTCTTAATTCCCTCGTTATATTTTCCTCACTGCAATAATTTTAATTTTTTTTATTCAGTAGGTGATTACATAAACATTTAAAAATAAAATCAACTAGGCTTATGAGGAATTTTTTTTCCCCGAAAAGATATGATATTGGGATCTTGGTAGGTTTTTTGTTGATGTTTGTTTTACAAATTTCTATTGAATGTAATAAGAGATTTTTCTGATGCAACTGCTAATGAAAGTATTGCAACCAAAATTTCAAGATTAATTTCTGTAGTTGCATCATTGTCCAGCTAATTGTTAAAGAGATAAAAATAGAATACAGAGTAACGCAATACTTCACTTAGAGAACTGCCTATTTTTTAAACCATCAAATTTTAAAGAACATTTTGTCTTTCTAAAACTTGTGGATGGGGAAGTTTCAAATAATACATTACTGGTTATATAGTTTATGTATAATAAAATAGTCAGGTCTTTTGGATATACTCATAATTTTCCTTTTTTCCTAAAAACATTTAAATAATTTAGTCAATTTCATAATGTTTTAATGTCAGTTTTTACACAAAGCATAAGTCCATTAGTACGACATTTTAACATGAATAAATTTAATATGAATAAATGAATAAAAATAAATTTAATATGAAATTTTAAGAAATAAGATTTATTTTAAATGTTACATTGTATCTGCCTAAGATAATATTTGAATAAAGATACAATTAAATAAAATACATATAAGCAGGAATAAAATTAAAGAACAATAAAAGATTTAAAACATTTAATTACTTTTGAAGCAATTATCTTAAATGAAGGGTATAGTTTAAATTAAATCACATTGGTTCTACTTGCTTAATATTCCCCATATATCTATTCAAACTTTTATGGCCTTTGTATTACGGTAGTCCTCTTTAGAATCAGTAAGACTTGGAATAATTATTATCTGATGTTAATAACAATGTTATTAAAATTCAATCAAGTGAGCTCTTAAAATTTTAGTACTATAAGTGACCTATTTTAATTTTAGAATATATAACAGTATAGTTATTTCACTTCCCTTTTTACTTGTTTTTATTTTAACATTTATTTAAAATAATGATGTTTAATTTTGGCTATCAAATTAACTAAAACAGTAATATATTTCAGAATGTTTGTCTAAAATTTTTTAAAACTCTTGTTGACATTTTGAATAGGTTAGAATAGATTTCCTTTATTTTTGTAAGTATAAAGTCCTTAATTATGTTATTTATAGTTCACCCTTGTATACATACGTACTTATATGTATGTATACACACATATATACACATATTGGGTGATAGGAAACTTTAAAAATATATGTCAGATGACTTTTTTGATTTGTTATTTTTTAAGATGGAGACATTAAAATATTTTAAGCCTTGGATAATTGTGAAGCAGTATAACATGCACATCATATTAATATAAATGTATAACCATGATTTATAAGTTGGACAGTGGGTCTTATTTTAAATTTAAAAGAAAAATTGCCTTTTTAAATACAGGGCTCTAATCCGTCCACTTCCAAGTCAACAGATGTTTGAACATGTGAAGAAGAGGCATCGTGTATTGTTTCTTTATGTTGGAGGAGAGTCACCTTTAAAGGTTTGAAATGAAGATAAATTTTGAATACCAAGTTAAAATTTTTGTTGTGTTTTAAGTAAGCCATAGTTCCTATAGCATATCAAATTCTAAATATTTGTGCAAGAAACCTTGATTCCAGATATTTTGAAAAATATATATAATTTATATATATATAGGCATTTTCTCAAATATTAGAAGCTAATTTCTTACTTTACCTTTTTGTTATATCTGAAAATAAATTTTGTAATTATTTAACAGCATACATATTTTCCAAGGTCATAGATCTTTAACTGAAAATTATCTTAAGGGCAAACTAATATAATCCCCTTATTCTTCAGATGAGGGGAATTGAGGCTCAGGGAGGTTAAGTGCCTTGCCAAAGATCACACAGATGTTAATCATCAAAAGTAGGATTTGAACCCTAGTATTTGACTACAGAGTTCTTTACTCCTGTTGTTTGACTCAGTGTACCACAAAGCACTCCCTTTTTGTGATTAGTATTTAGCAAAGTTCGATCTTGTCAGTTAATAATATGCTTAACCCATAACTATTTTAATTCATTCAGCAATATATTTTCTTACTTTCAATTATTTCTGGCATTTGCTTATCTTAGAAATGAGGAAACAGGTGAGAGATGCCAAACTTCCCCTACGTAGGTATGAGTGGTATTTTTTTTTCTAGACTTAAAGTTTTATTGGTATAGGGAATTCAGTGAGGAAATTCTCTCTAACAGTGAAGGTCAGCAGTTGTTCTCCAGTTGATAATCTTGTTGCCTGAGGCACTGAGAGGTTAAATAAACTCTCCCAGGATCAAACAGCCACTTTATATCAGAGGACATACTTGAATCTAGCCCTGTATGGCTAAAGCTGACTTTCTGTCTGCTATTCCACTGTTGTCTTGATTAAATGTATACCTTATTAGAAAAAATAACATAGGTAATGAAGGGGTGCATTGTGTTTTAAATTGATGTATTCCATGAGGAAATGGAGGAAATAGATTAGGGAAATTTAATAGAAAACATTTGAGTTAAGATTATGAATACGGAAACAAAAGCCATTTTGTCATTGGAGTATACTGCTGGCCATTTTAGCAAGAGAAGAATTAGAGGAAGAGTTAGGGATACATATAACCCTGGCCCCGGGGCAGTTGGGATGGGGGACTTCAATTGATATATGCTAGAGCCGTCCCCCCTGCCTAAAGTAGAATAATCAGTCAATGAATAGGCACTTACTAAGCACTTAATTCTGTGACAGGTGCTACATTAGACACTGGAGATACAAAGTTCCTGTCATCAAAAATTTATTTTCTATTAAGGGAGACAAAATACAAGTATATACAGAACATACATAAAGCAGATGCAGGGTAATCTTGAGAGAAAGAAAAGGCCTTAGTAGCTGAGGAGACCAGGAAAAACTTCATACAGAAGATGTCTCTTCAATTGAGTGTTCAAGGAAACCATGACTTCCAAGAGCTGTGGAAGTGAGGAGAGACAATGCAAAGCATCTGAGATGGGAGTTTGCTTGTCAGGAGCAAGAAGGCCAGCATGGCTGTAAAATACAGTATGTAGTAGGAGTATTGAGTAAAAAGGGAGAAAAGGTAAGTTGCATTCAAGTTATGATTTAAATGCCAGTCAGAAGTGCTTATATTTGATATTACAGGGATAGCTAGGGAGCCACTGAAATTTATTAGTGCTTATTTGTATATTTGGGAGGGAAATGATACAGATCTGTTCTTCCCCTGCTTTAAGAAGTTCACTTTGGAAGCTATGTGGAGGATGGATTAGAATGAGGAACAGACATGAAATGGATAGAACAATTAGGAAGCTGTTCCAGTGGTCTAGGTGCAATGTAAGAACCTAAACTCAGGTGGTGCCTGTGAAAGTGCCGAGAAGGGGTCTGTATGCAAGAGATAGTACGGTAAAAACTACAGGACTTGGCAAAAGACTGATTTTGTGAGAAGAGTGAGAGTGAGGAGTAGAAGATGACACCAAGATTATAAACGTGAATTACTGAAAGGACAGTGATACTTTTGACAAAAACAGGGAAGAAGAAAGGCTTTCTGGGAAAAATAATAGGGACTGTTTTTTGTTTTTTGGTTTTTTTTTTTTTAATTTTGTTTGTGTACATGTTAAGTTTGAGATATCTGTGAACCATCATTTTTGAAATGTCAGTAGGTGGTTGGGACTGGGACTGAAGAGAGTGGCCAGGAGCTAATACTTTATATAGTTTGCCCTAATGATATCTGTCCCTTTCAGAAGGTGAAGGAACCAGTGAGGGTAACTGATGTTTTAGAACTGACACTCACCAGCAAGGAACAGTAGTTTGATTAGGTAGAAGAAGTAAGATTGATTATTCCATTTCAGAATTTGTGATAGGGAAGAAAAGCAAAGGCTTAGTCTGGTTCGTATTCTAGTTGTAAGTAGTGCAGATTTCAAAAGGTTCACAATTCAATCTCTTAAAATTCTACAGAGAATTTCAGCTTGGAAAGGATGAAAAGCTCTCAAGAACAAAATCTCAACACAAAGAAAAAAGATTATTTTAGGGGGAAAAAGCTGTTTAAATAAACTGGAAATTTGAGGATTTGTTGACCAACATAGATGTTTAGAAATTGTTCACAGTCGACGAAAGCAAGGTTTTATCCTGTAGGTAGCAGAGGAACATGGAATAGTGTCAGAAGCATTAAAGCTCAGAATGAGCTGAGGGCCACAAAAAATGGTGTTTTGTTTTGTTTGTTTTTTGTTTCAGATGTAGGGGAATAAAAGGAAGGATAGGACTGCTCCTTGGGGGAAGAAGTAATGATTATAGCTCATGATGGGAAGAATCAAGAACTATTTAACATGTTTTCTGTTCTAAGGAGAATAATCTTTGGATTTGAAAGGAAAGACCAAAGAAGGTGAATAGTGAGTCCACAATGCAAAGAAGTAAGCTGATATTAAGGGAGATGAATTCAAGACACTGGACCCAAACAGTTAGTTCCAGGCCAAAGCCTTTGGCAGATATGATTTTTGAACTGTTATTAGTGGTCTTTGAAAGATTGTAGAGATGAAGAGAGGTGTTGTAGAATTAGAAGGATAAATTTTGTTCTAATTTCCAGACAAGAAGGATTACAAGAAGAATGTGAGTCTATAAACTAGAGGCAAATGAACTTGATTTTAATTCCTAACAAAATTTTAAAACATTTCATTAAATTGGTAGTTATTGAACATTTATAAATGAAAGTAGTTTCAAAAATAGGTTATCTCAGAGTAATATTTTCTTTTTTAACAGGATTATTAGACTAATTCATAAGAGGAATGCTGTAAATCCAGTTTACCGAGATTTTAGAAAAGCATCTGAAAAAATTTCTTACAGTATTCTTGGAGAGAATAAATGGAGAGATGTAAATTTAAAAAGAAACTATAGTTTGATGGATTCTCAACTAGTTAAATATCTGTACATCTCTAATTGATGTTCCCTTGGGATCTATGCTTGGTCCTGTATGGTGTAGCTTTAATATATATGGAGGGGTTTGACTAGCTGACCTTTTATGTTTTTTCTACTTCTAATTTTATGATCATGAACAATATTTAAGTTTGTTCAGTTAAGTACTAGAGGGCAGAACTAGCCTAGTAGTAATGTGTGGAAGAGTCAGAGAGGTAGATATCAGTTCTTTTAAAAGAACATCTTCCTGTCAATTAGAGATATCCAAAAGTGGAGTGCCATGGGAGGTATCACATCTCTCTGATCAAAGACTGACTGGTTAACTACTTGTTAGTTATGCTGTAAAGGAATTGCGTCTCAGGTACAAGTTGAATTGGATAAACTCCAGAATTCTTTGAAATTCTGACCATTTGTGAATTAAATATGACCTCACTAGAATACATGTGTGAGTTATATATAAAGGATTGTATGAGATTGGGGAAGGTTTCAAAAACAAAGTGAAGGAGTTTGTTTGAGTCTTAACATTTGTACAAGATTGTTTATTTTTTTTTTGTGAGGCATTTGGGGTTAAGTGATTTGCCCAGAGTCACACAGCTAGTAAGTGTTTTGTGTCTGAGTCCGCATTTGAACTGAGGTCCTCCTGACTCTAGGGCTGGTGCTGTATCCACTGTGCCACCTAGCTGCCCCAAGATTGTTTATTCTTGATCAGAGGAATTACATAATAAAAATGGTAATTTAGAAAGGCTTGTCTGACATTCATATATAGGGTAGATTAGAAATTATAGAGATACTGAAAATGGGAAATGAGGAGTATTTTTTTCAGTAATTTAGTTTGCAAAGTAATGGTGGTATGGGATTTTTGTTTCTGTGCAAATGAAGGGAAAAGATTTAATTTTACTGCAAACATTTCAAAGGGAAGCATGATAAATCTTGTTGACAGAATACAAGAAATAAAGGAGGAGTCGGATAATTCCATAATTTCAAACTTAGATGACTAAGAGAATAGTGGCAATGGTGTCATTGATAAAAAAGGAAAAAAAAGTTTAAGGGGTTCCTTATTTGTTGGAAGGGAGAGGTGAGAGTGAGTTTAGTGATGGTAGAATTGATTTTGAGGTAGAGCAGATTCAGGAAGTAGCTGAAAATATAGGACAGTATCCAGAATTGAGTGTGGAGGGGAAACAACAAAATTCCAAAGGTCATTATGGGGTACCCAGAGTTGGAAGGTAAGAAGGTAAAGGGAAGCTTTGATAGGGTGCCAAAAAAGATCAGTCCATGATAGAAGAACCAGGAAACATTCTATTATTTCAATCTCAAAAGAATATTTTAAGCATGAATAGGTATTTGACTAAGAAATAAAACTGGTTGAGAAGGACTTGGGAATTATTAATAATTTTTGAGATAAAATTTTTGGGAGAGTGGTGAGGTTAGAAAGCAGATTTCATGGAAATTAAATGGTAAAATAGAAAGGGTAGTGAAATCCAGTAAAACGGTTTTTTTTTTCTTTTTTCATGTCTCTTGGTATTCTCATTTAAATTGTAACTTGAAAACATAAAATTAATCTAAATGGAGCATACTTCACAGTTCTCCTTGGATAGTGAAATTAATGTGGTTTGTTTGCTATGTCCAAGGGCTGGCCATAGGAAACATCATTTCAGTAGTTTGCTTGACCATCTTAAATTGTGTTCATCATGAGCACAAGCCAAAAAGAATACTATGAATATAATTGCAACTTATATTCCTACATCTGATGCAAAGGATGAGGAGGTAAAGAAATTCTTAAAATACCTTGACAAGATACTCCAAACTTAAGTCAAATGTTCTCAGTCCTTGGTGACTGAAGTAGAAAGATCTCAGTGGGGAAATTGGTGAAGAATGCATCGGAATATATGACTCAAGATAGAAAGAGGCCAGCAGCCTGTGAACTGCAGAAACCTCACATCTTGGTACCATGAATGTTTTATTCAAGAAAAGAAAGAGAAGACACTGGACATGGTGAACACTGAATGGTATTAATACAATAAAAGAATTTGACTATCATAACAGACAGGAAGTAGCTGGCTAGCGATATGGTCATCATATCAGAATAACCTATCTTTGTGGTCTGACTTGTTAAAACAAAGGTCAAAATTGACACCTGACTAGGAGAAAAGTAAAAAGCTTGAGAATAAGATAGTTTGTGCAAGTATAACTCCAGCCTATTTAAACAAACTATTAACTCCAGAAAACAGATAAAGGAAAAGACATCAAAAACAATTATCTCCATGTTCTACAGAACTTTAAATGACATGAGGGAAGCTCTATGAGAAGGCAGCCAGAGTGCCCAAAAACCATCTCAGACCTCTTTGCTGGATGGAGAAACATGTTAGTCAAGGGCAACAGGGGTTAAAAATACGTTATTTTCAGAATCTTATTGAGCAAGATGGTTAAAGTTTATGAGCAGTTCTATGATCACTGGAAAAGAGGTTGGGCCAGTCATATGGTAAGAATTAGAGATATTTGATAAGTAGTAACTTCATTGGCCTCCAAAAAATGATGAGATCTAGAGGACATCTTGCAGTACTTTTTGTGGGCATCCCATGAGTAGTTCAAAAGAACAGGGATAAAAGTTGTGGCACTATTGGAGCCAGTGCCCACATTTAATGAGATCACAGATCAGAATATGTCAATAATATCTGATTTGATGATGCTTTAAGGTTTTAAGTTTATGCCTTTTAATAGAGTTATTTTTTGAAAAGCAATGCACGATAAATTGTGATGTATAAATTTGTGGGAGTTGTGGCTGATCTATGATCCTAAGTTTATAGCAAAGCGTGCCCAACAGTTTGGCTGTGAAGGACTACTATGAAGGTGAGGCCATTCATGGGACCATGAATGTAGGAGACAACTTCTTTACAGGTGAATCAATTCCCCAGAAAACTAAAACATTGATTATCTATGTATTTGTTTATCTAGAATTCTAGAATCATGTGGGTGATAGCTTTGTGATGGTTACTATACTTCCACTTCATTTTAAATCATTCATGAATCTCTGTCACCTTTCCCTGTTTTAGATTATTGGATTGAATTTGTCCTCAGTTCTGAGCTAAGTAAATAATAGTCTCTGAATATTTAACTGAAATACTGATTTTGAATTTGAAAATGGGATTAAAGTGAGGTAAATTTGGTATGTGTTTTATGAATTGTTAAAGTCATTTGAATAATTCAATTGTTTTAATTTTTTTTAAGTGTCATTTTGGATTGAGTACTTTGAGATCCTCCTACCCTAAATAATATACTAAAATGAGTAATTAAAAGTAATCGGTTGGTAGACCTAATTACACTTTAATTTCAGTGTAATTTATAATAGTGATACCTTGTAACATACTGGTGTACATAACAATTAACGTGTGTATGTATATATATGTATATATACACATATGCACACAAACAAATATGAAACCGGCTCATTTTTTTTTTCCATTTTCAAATGTTTCTACAGGAGAAATACATAGAAGTAGCTTCAGAATTAATTGTTTATACCTACTTCTTTTCGGCCTCAGAAGAGGTTATACCTGAGGTATGTGACTTTCAAATGCGTTTTATAACAATTTTGTAAGTTTATTTGAGATATGATTTTATATTTAATGTTATTTGACATATTTAATAAAATTATAAAAAAAAACTTGACCTGCTAACTAATTGTAATATAGTTATCCCTTCCACATCATGACTTTTTCTATTGTGGTTTCGATATAGCACACATCATCATAAGAAATTACTGTAGTATTTCATATTTTAAAAATTTCTTTTTTATGCATTATTTTTACTTAATATTGACCAAACATAGCCTGTGAACAAATACTTAACAAAATTTTAGAGTAAGGTACTGTAAACAACCTATAAAAAGAAAAAATTCAGACTTCTTCTCTGGCATGAAGGGAGGGCCAAAAATTTTTATGCAGATTTTCCATATCGCCAAGGGTTGGGTGAGGGGGGTTGAGGGATACCATCCCCCTAAACCCTACGATATAGAAGGGATAACTGTATAGCTGGTTGTTCATAGCTATCAGGATAGATGATTGTGAACTACAACTAGTAAATATTAATGGAAATAACATTTAGGTAATAGAGGTACTGTTTTACTTTTTTTTTTTTTTTTTTTTTTTTGCTTCAAAATAACAGAAACATTGATTTTTGTTAGACCGAATTCTTAAATTGTATTATGAATAAAGTTATCCTGATCATTGAGATGTTTTAACTACCCTTTAGTTTCTGGGTGGTAGTTTCCTAGAGTGCATTCTTGTTTATCAAAAACTTATACTCCACACTTAACTTTCTATTTGCTGTGCAATTCTTTGTGCTAAAATTACTTTACCTTGTAAGCATATGGCTATTCATAGCATTAGGCAAGAACAAACAGAAGAGTTTTGTGAAATAAGAGGAAGGGAACAAGCATTAATAAAACCCCTGCTATGTGCCAGAGACTTTGTTAACCTAAACACTTTACAAATATTATCAAATTTGATCATCACAACAACTCTTGAAGGTAGGTGCTATAATGTCACCACTTTACAGTTGAGGAAAGTGAGGCAGGCAGAGGTTAAGTGACCTGTCCAGAGTCACACAGCTATTAAATATCTGAGGACAGATTTGAACTCAGATCTTTCTGAATGCAAGGCCAACACTTTTATCTACTATACCACCTAGCTGTCTCTCTAGAACTTTTAAGTTCTAGAACTGCAATGACCTACAGCTAAAGAAGCACAGGCATTATATTTAATATTAGAACACTAGAATCTATGAAAGAATAAAGCTTTATGCTTGATGTATTTTGTTGTTATTGATTCCTAGGCCTTCTTCCCTTCTATCTGTATGTGTCTTGATTTGTTTGCCTCTGGGTTTTGGATTTCTTTTTTCCTTTAAATTTTTTAAAGTTGAATGGAACATAATTGAGACCAATGTTTAATTTCATTATGCAAAGGCAGTTAACTGAAAAGTGAAATATTAAGAACATTTAACAAAGATCTGAAGTTTGAAACCCAAACATGATAAATGAAAATACAGCAAGATATGGCATAACTCATTAGAAATATGATTAACTTTAACCACCATGTCTGCATCAGAACTACCAACACATTGCCATTCTCAACAAATCAAGTATTGTTAGTTTTTTTTTTAATTTTCCCATTCAATTTTTGTTGACTCTCTGTACCTTATACAGAAGTATATACATATACATAATGGATTAAGAGAGATTATTTGGAAAGCTCTTTGAAAATAGGCCAATAAGTTTAATATGAAAAAAGTACAGAGAGAAAAATTGTTGATATAAAATTAGACATGATGAATTTATTTGTGATTTGAGACTCAGAACTTATATCCACGCATCTATATTAGGAATTATCACATTTTCAGTGGAAACAGTATGTGAGACAAATATTCATATCATGTTAACTCATAGTTTTTACTTTCCAACTAATTTAGTTTTTTGTCCAGACTTGTTATTTTATCACTTTTTTTCTGGGTAAGGAAACTGTCTACCAAAGCAAATCAGCAACTATTCTACAATTTATAGCTTAAGAAAGTTGCTTGAGGACACTGAAAGGTAAGTGACTTTCCCAAGGTCGTGTAACCAATATGTGTCAGATGGAATTCAAACCCAGGCATTCCTGACACCACGTACAACTCTCAGTCCTCTATGCATGTTTGCTCTCAAGTTGAGGAATTATAATATTTTTCAACTTTTCAAATTTTTATTTTATGACTTATTTGAAGGATATCACATTTTAATACTCTAACAGAAATTTAACTGTTATAAATATTTGCAGTATACTTTCAGAAAAGTTCAGTTAAATATTAAGCACTTGCTATGTGCAAACCAATGTGCTTGATGTTGAGGCTGTAAAGATGAAAAAGCAATGCCACTTTTCTACTCAAGGAGCCTTACAATCATCTAGGGAGGAGATAAACACACAGAGAATTAAAATAGAGTGTGATGGTCAAAGGGGAAGATCTAGACAAAGTAGTTTAGGCACATTTGAAAGACTCTTTTTTTCTGTAGAAGAACGTAGTTACAATTTTATAATAACACTATGAGGGAAATAGTGTTTGTTCTGAATAAAATTACCCTACCTATCAACTTTGTTGAAAGATAAAAGTAAGGATAATTTTTTCCTGTTAGTTACTGATGTTCTTCATAACTGTCTTGATGATAGGCTTAATCCTAGAAGTGCTATTGAAAATTCTTAGGGGCTGCAGGTTCAATTCTGTTACAATCAGGTTTTTATACAGGTTTCTTTGAAGTGAAATTTTTGTTATTCTTTTATTATGCAGGACAGATAGAATAGATGAATCTTTGGGCCTCCTTTTACTCTGAAAAGCAAAAATTGAGAAGATGTGCTAGGCATAAAATAGATTCTTAATAATCAAGCCGATTGCTTGATTGAAATTTATAAATTCTTGTAAGGAATAGAATGAAATGTAGCATAAGAGATCATTTCTTAAAACTAGAAAGAGGTATAGAACCCTACAGTCAGAATAAGAAGGGACTTTGAATGTGATGTGTCCAATCTTCTTTGCCGTTCAGCTCAGTCCCCCCTCCCCAAAAAACAAAAAACAAATAAACTAAAAAACCTTTAACAGTATCCCTGGCAGGCAATAATCTTGACAGAGAATGTAATGCCTCATAAAACCTTTAACAGTATCCCTGGCAGGCAATAATCTTGACAGAGAATGTAATGCCTCATAAATCCATGTATTTTGCTCAGTTCTGGTTATTCTTTTTATGAGCTGAAGTCTGCTTCCCTATAACTTCTATCCATTAGTTCTATCCTCAGAGCTTTTAAAATAGGCACCTAATGAATACTTATTTAATTGAAGTGAGCTACATGAAGTAAGGGAAATGTAATCCTCTTCCATACAATGTCCCTTCATATATTTGAAGACAGCTGTTAAGTCTCCCTTTACAGGCTAAATATCCCCAATTGTTTTCTTTTTTTTGTTTTGTTTTGTTTTATTTATTTATTTATTTTTTTTGGTGAGGCAGTCGGGGTTAAGTGACTTGCCCAAGGTCACACAGCTAGTATGTGTCAAGTGTAAATATCCCCAATTCTTAAGACCTTTCCTCAGTTATGAAATTTTGCATCCTCTTTATCCTAGACTCCCTTGGATTTGCTCCAGTTTATTAATGGGCTTCTTAAAATGTGATATACAAAACAACACAATGATGTGGTTGAGTGCAAAGTAAAATCATGTGTAAGGTAGATTGCAGTGGGAAAAGAAAATCTGTATTATTAAAATAATCTAAACATGAGGGGATGATCTGTTGATAGAAGAGGTAGATACATATACATACATGTTACCTTTGCATCTGGTGATACAGGGTGTTGCTACAGAAACAAATAAAAGGAGTGATCTAATTCCTTTTCTTTTTTGGGGGGGGTGGAGGGGTAGGGAACGATATAAGTAAAGTTTTCCCATTCTTTTTAGTTTCTTAGGTAAGTGAGGGGGAGGTTCACTAGCCTTGATGAAAGTTTGTTGGTCCATATGAGTTCTTACTTATATCCAGGCCAGAAGAATCACCATCCATTTAGTGAAACTAGTCTCCCCCTACTCTTTTGCACTTCCTTTTTCTCAGTTTTAAGAAAAAAAGATGATACCCCTATCCTGACCTTCCTAAAGAGATAAGAAGTAATCTGTTCACACTTTCTAGTCTGGCTATGCTCCCTATACATAATAATTTTTAGTAGAGGTTGTTTTTTTGATTATTATTTCCACTTAAGGAAATGTTTAAACCTTTATGTTACTGAAGCAGAGGTCTTCTTAATGTAGATGTTAGTTATTAGATGGATGACTTTCTGATTATCCATTTAATGTTTTGTAACATTTTCATTTAACGAGTTGACTAAGCTTTATTTCTCTAAAGCCCTTCTGTTCTGTTTAGTTATTCATCTTAATTTCTTTTAACTGAAATTTGTTTCTTCTCCATAGAAAATTCCTAAGAATTTTTTAAAGTCCACATTAAAATTTATATTAACCAGATAAAATCTAAAATTTAGATTGGCCTAGATCCAGTTTTTGACCAGGCTTCTGCTTCCGTCAAAATACACAATACACATATACTGCCCTGCCCTCCCCCCACACACACACAGTGTTACAGTTGTAATCACATGTCCAATCTTTTGCCAGAACTTGTGTTTTGGAATGTCACTTCCTCCCATCCATGTAGCCGTTTGCTTGGTAAAGATCTTCATTGCTTTTTGCCAGGACTATTACCATAGCCTTTTGGTTGTTTTCCCTGCCTAGTCTCTTCTCTAATACACTCTTTTCCTCTCCACTCAGCTACCAAAGTGATTTTCCTAAAATAGAGATATGCCAATGTCACCTTCTCTACTCAGTATACTGTAGTGGGGCTGTATTATTTCCAGGATCAAAAATAATTGTCTTCAAAGTTCTTTACAACCTGACCCCTGCTTACCTTTCCAGCAACAATGAGCTTCTTGGTGTTCCAAGATGTGTTGCACATGTCTCCATGCATTTATGCTGTCTATCTTCCTTGTTTGGAATGTGTTTCTGCCATCTGGCTTCCTTCAAGATTCAGTGCCAGTTCCTCCTGCTGGAGAAGGGCTTTCTTGATCCCCTTCCCTGTTCTAGTGCCTTCCTTCTGAGATTACTTTCCATTTACATAGAGTATATATAGTTTTTGAATGTGATCTCTTCCATTAGAACATGGACTTTTCAAGGGCAAGTACCATATATCTTCAACACCATGCACTGTATGTGGCACTTAGTAAGTACTTAATAAATTATTGTGAGTGGTTACTCACAATGCCACTGACTAACCACACTCTGTTTTCCCAGTGCCCTTATATAGGAAAGTATCAATTTGTAAAACAGATTTTTAAGTGACCATTCTCACTGCAAAAGTTATTATAAAGGTTCTTTAAATAAGAAATTCCACTAATGAATTTAACTCACATTCAGTTTAACTCACTAAAGAAACCCATTGCATTAATCTTATAAAACTGACTCCACAAAATGTCTTTTTAGTACTACTTACTATATTGTATAAATATGAATTTTTTTGTAAAATCTGTAAAATTCTAGTTTCCCTTGGTTGTTTAAATACTAGTTATTTATTTAAATATAATTCTAGAATTATTTTAAAGGTAGTTGTTTTTACATAAGCCACTAACTAGTTAGAAAGTGATACTATGAAAGTATAATTATTGACAAAAGATTTATATCATTTAAAAAGATTATTAATATCTTTAGTTTTCATATCACCTTCACTTCCTAATAAACTCCAGCACAAAATAAAAAAGAAAGTAGGAGAAGAAAAGCTATTCAGAGAAACTAACAATAAATTCAACCAAGTATAACATTATATGTAGTATTCTACACCCAGAGTCCCTCACACACTTACATTTTTACTTTGTGGCCAACCTTGGTCATTATAATTATACTGTGTTCACTTTCAGTTTTATATTATTTGCCCTTTCCATTTTCATTGGCATAGTTGTCATTGTTTTTCTAGTATGACTTAATTAACTTTTTATTAGTTCACACATCTTTCAATGAGTTTCTGTATTCTTTATATCCATCACTTCTTGCAGTGCAATATATATTCCATTTCATTCATATCTAACGATATGTTTAGTTTTTTTCCTCAGCTAGATTTTCAGTTTTTTTTTTTTTCTGCTATAAAAACTGCTGTTCTTTCTCTCTCTATCTACTTGGAGTCAGGAAGATCTGAGTTCAGATCCTCTAGTCTGACACCTACTAAGTCCATAATTCTGGGCAAGTCATTTAATCTCTCTCTGCCTCAGTTTTCCTCATTTGAGAATCAAATAAGATGTATAATGCTTTGTAGACCTTAAAGTGGTATTTAAGTGTTAACATTGTTGTTGCTGTTGTTATTATTTATTAACAAAATTCCTAATGTCTTTATAGAATGACTGGACCAATTCACAGCTCCATTCACAGTGTATTTGTTGCCTGTCTTTCTATGGCCACATCATAGACTATTTCCACTAAAAATGTTTAATAATGAACAGATTAGTAAGGTGGGAAGTTAGACTGGGTGACAAGTTGTTCATAGAATTTAATTAATTTTCTTTTGTGGTGTCTTTTTATATTTTATAACAAGATCTCTGAATATCTGTGAAATAAACAATAGTTACAAGTTGAAAGTTTTTTCCAATGATTAAGGCATTGAAATTTGTTTTTTGCAGTATGTAACCCTGAATGAGATGCCTGCTGTGCTTGTTTTCAAAGATGAAACTTACTTTGTATATGATGGTAAGTACATAATGACTCATGTAGTTTATAACACAATTTGATTAGAATAAAAATTTATTTAGTAAATATAAATATTCTTCAGTGTCCCAGTAATTTGAATGGTCGTAAGATACAAATTCCATTTTGTTCATGCAAGATACAGATCACAGGTATCTTCAATGGAATTGTAGATTGAATCAAAATTTAATTGTATTAAAAATTTTAGTAGTAATTTCTACTTATTGATCCTCTAAATATTATTTTTATAAAATATTCATATACATAGGGGCACTAAAAATGACAGTAGTTGGTGTCACATAGAGCTGCAACTAGAAAAGGAGTAGGGGAGTTAAAATTGTCGAGTGATTGACTTCAGAAGGAAACTATGCCATAGTATATGATTAAGTTAATTGCATAGCTCTATCAACTTTTACTACTAAAGCTTTGTTTGAAGCTATTGTGAAAATTCAAATTAAAAAATTTGTTACATGACTTATTTGATGGTGATAGCTTAATATGGATGTTGACGTATGTTTTTCATATGAATAAAAAAGATTAATTATAAAATTCATGAGGTATGCATCTTCAGATTTTCTTTTTCCTTTTAAACTTATTTGAACGACCACAAAATGATAAATTGGTAATCAAAAATGCATCTGAAATTAAATTTTTTTCCACAAGAGTTTTTTATCATTTTTTTTTTGGCAGAAAGAGGGTTGATAAGTTTGTGTTCAAATCTTTTGAACCTAGTTTTTCCTAGTGGCTACCTACATGAGTTCTCTCTGTCCCACTTTTTCTTCTTTAATTCATATACAGTTTTTTTTCCCCCATCTAAAATACTATTTTGAATTTTGCAAATACTCTATAAATAACTAAATTTAAAATTTTCTGTAGGTTGTTGCTTTCAATGATAGCCTGCTACCAGAGACCTTTTATGAAGTTTGAGCATGTCTTCATTGAGTGATCAGTCTTTAGAGAACAGCATTGTATGATGATTTGGGAACAAGCCTTTGAGTTAGGAAGATCTAGGTTCAAGGCATGTTCCTAACGTGTTAGCTTTGTGACTATTGACAAATCACTTAACCTATAAGTACTCTAAGCAACTCTGTGATAGAAGTTAGAAGAGTTGCTGATCTGCACTGGTAGAAAGATTTTTCACACCAGAAGTACCCTATATGGATGAAATCATAAGACTGGATCACCCCACCTCCAAAAAAAACCCCACACTCTCATTTACTTATTTTTTAATACCCTTTTAGATTATTCCCCCAACTTGAAGTTGCTGCATAGATTCCTCCAGGAAAGGATTGCCTCAGGTACAAGCCATTAGTTGGGTCCACACTCCTAAAATCAGAGCTCACAAGCCTTCACTGATGTTTTTGCCTTTGATAATCAACCAGGAGACAATTTGCTTGAAACAAAGGCATTTACTGAAATGGTACAATAAGAAAGGTAGCAAGAAAATACCTCCCCCAATTACACATACTACATTACTGAAATCCGTGGAGTCGATAAGTGGAGAGGTACACAATCAAAGGCCTTTTACTGCTGAATCTCCCAAGGTCTTATAAAATCCCTTATACTATTCCTCATGCTTCTCTGCTAGGCCCCTGAAACTGCTTCTAGCCAGTGTGTGTCTCCAAAAATTCTTTGTCATGATTTCCACTGTCTCTAGCTTGGTTGTTGTTGTAGTTCAGTCATTTAGTTGTGTCCCGATTCTTCATGATCCCATGGACCATAGCACGCCAGGCCTTTCTATACCCCACTATCTCTCAAAGTCTGTCCACACTCATGTTTGTTATTTCCCTCCCTTTTTCCTGTTGACTTCAATCTTTCCCAACATATCAAGATCTTTTCCAGTGAGTCCTGTCTTCGCATTATGTGACCATAGTATTTAAGCTTCAGTTTCAGTATTTGATCTTCCAGAATAGCCTGAATTAATTTCTTAATCAGTATTGAATGATTTGATCTCTTTGCTGTCCAAGGGACCCTTAAAAGTCTTTTCCAGCACCACAATTTGAAAGTGTCAATTCTGTGGTGCTTAGCTTTCCTTATAGTCCAACTCTCTTAGCCATCCTTTGCATCTGGAAAAACCATAGCTTTGACTGTATGGACTTTCATTGGCAAGATGATGTTTCTGCTTTTTTGTGTGCTGTCCAGATTTGCCATAGCTGTCCTTCCAAGGAGCAAACATTTTTTAATTTCATGGCTGTAGTTGCCATCTGCATGAACTTTGAGCCCAAGAATATAAAATCTGATACTACTTCCATTTTTTCTCCCTTTATTTGCCAGGAAGTGACGATACCAGTTGCCAGGATCTTAGTGTTTTTTGATATTAAGCTTCAAGCCAGCTTTTACACTTTCCTCTTTTACTCTCATCAAGAAGCTTCTTAATTTCTCTTTACTTTCTACCATTAGAGTAGTATCATCTACATATTTGAGATGGTTATTTCTCCTGGCAACCTTAATCCAGCCTGACAAAAGCATGATGTACTTTGCATATAACTTAAATAAATAAGATGACAATGTACAGCCTTGTTTTACTCCTTTTCTAATCTTAAACCAGTCAGTTGTTCCATGTTCAGTTCTGTTTCTTCTTGGTATGGATATAGGTACTTCAGGAGCTGATGATCTGGTACTCTCATCTCTTTGAGGACTTGTCACATTTTGTTGTAATCCACACAGTCAAAGGCTTTAGTGTAGTCAGTAAAGCAGAAGTAGATGTTTTTTTTCTGGAATTCCCTTCCTTTCTTCATAATCCACCAAATGTTGGCAATTTGGGCTCTAGTTCCTTCGCCTCTTCAAAAACCGTCCTGCTCTTCTGGTAGTTCTCGGTTCACATATTACTGAAGCCTAGCTTTCAGAATCTTAAGCATAACCTTGCTGACATTTGAAATGAGCACAGTTGTTTGGTAATTTGAATATTTCTTGGTTTTGCCCTTTAGTATTGGGACGTAAACTGATCTTTTCCAATCTAGTAGCCCCTTTTAGTTTTCCAAATTTTCTGGCATATTGAGTGTGACATTTTAATATTATCATATTTTAGGATTTTAAATAGCTTGGCTGAAATTCCATCATTTCCTTTACCCTTATTGTTAGCAGTACTTCCTAAGGCCCACTTGACTTCATTCTCCATGATGTTTGGCTCTAGATCAGTAATCACAACTTCATGGTTAATGGTTATGTTAAGATCTTTCTTGTATAGTTCTTCTGGATATTCTTGCCTTCTCTTCTTAATCTCTTCTGTTAAGTCTCTGCCATTTTGGTCTTTTATCATACTTTTTTCCACATGAAATGTTCCCTGGATATCTCAAATTTTCTTGAAGAGATCTTTTATCTTCCCCTTTCTATTGTTTTCTTCTATACTTTGTATTGCTTATTTAAGAAAACTTGATTTCTCCTTACTATTCTCTGGAATTCTGCTTTCAGTTGCATATATCTTTCCCTTTCTCCTTTCCCTTTTGTTTTTCTTCTTTCCTCAGCCATTTGTAAAGACTCATCAGACAGCCATTTTGCTTTCTTGCTTTTCTTTTTTCTTTGGAATATCTTTTGTTGCTGCCTCCTGTACAGTATTGAGAACCTCTGTCTATAGTTGTTAAGGCACTCTGTCTATCCGATCTAATCCCTTAAATGTTTTCATCACATCTACTTCAATAAGGGATGTTAAAGGTCATACCTCTATGGTCTAATGATTTTCCCTGCTTTCTTCAATTTAAGTGAATTTTGTACTAAGGAGTTAATGATCTAAGCCACAATCAACTCCAGATCATGTTTTAATTGACTTTATAGAGCTTTTCCACCTTTGACTGCAAAATATATAATCAGTTTAATTTCTGTATTGACCATCTAGTGACATCCATGTGTAAAGTCACCTTTTGGCTTGTTGATAAAAGAGGGTTTGCTATGACCAGTGAGTTATCTTGACAAAACTCAGGTGAAATCCTTGGTTAATCTACTGCTCTTCACTTTGGGAAAGGGCTAGAACCTGTACACTGTGATCAGAAGGAATCTTGGCTTTGGGTCCTGTAATTGCCTGAATAGGATCATACTTTCATGCTTCATATTCCTGACTCCTCTCACTCACTGCACTTGACTCCACAGCTCAGTCCTTTTGCATGGATGCTGTGATGTGCTTCATTCTCAAGACTGTTGGAGGAGGAAAGAAAAATCCTCTTCCTCCGCTTGCTGTACTCTCCAAAAGGTGCAAAAGAAAAGACAAGATTAAACTCTTGTTTCATGGGTGCATCTTGCATTTTGAGGCCAACAAGGGGATATTAGATCCTTGTTCCAGTCAGTTGCTGGAATTTCCTTATTTTTCTTCTGTTACCTTTACCCAACATTGGACTAATGCCTTATAACTTCATCAGAGTAATTGAAGAGCTTTCTGCTTTGTTGTCTTATTGTTTAGGTAGTCCCTTTACAATCTTTTCATATTGTTTACATGTGTTCCTAAATACCTTATTTACTTTTTTCCCCCTCATTTTTATCCAACTATTTTTAATCATATTTTCTGAATATTATCTCTCATGTTTGTTAAAAGTAGACTTGAGAAAAAAAAATTTTCCTCAATATCTTCTCTCTTTTGTGGTTGAAGAATGTGACTTTTTTTGATATTTGTATGAAAGTATCCTTGCATTATATTTTACTGTTAGGATTGGGAAAATGAAGAAAAGGATTTTTTATCAGTTACTATGCTTTATTTTTTTTGTTAGATTTTATTTGGAGAATTAAAATGAAGCTCTTAAAAGTTTCTATTAATTCCTGTTTTTATTTTTTAATTACTTTTCCATTATTTGTTTTGAGACTTTGAATTTTTTTCTCTGTTTAAGCACTTTTTTTTGGTAAATTTTATTTAGTATTTTGTTTTTCCCCAGTTACATGTAAAAACAGTTTTCTAACATTTTTTTCTCTTTTTTTTTTTTGTGAGGCATTCGGGGTTAAGTGACTTGCCCAGGGTCATACAGCTAGTGAGTGTCAAGTGTCTGAGGCTGGATTTGAACTCGGGGCCTCCTGACTCCAGT